AAGATATTGCTTGACATCCTTGCACAACATTATTATTGCAGCAAAACCTCCCTGCTCAAAACAGGTATTACATACAAGAGAACAACAAAAAAACAAAGGCAGCTAGAATGAAATCAACTTAACAGCTTTCTTGACAAGCATTTGTGAAACCCGCATACTTACAGAATAAATACTACAATATTACAAGAGAGAAATGCATAGTATATTCATATACCACAGTACTGTCTTATACCATACTGCTATGTATTCATCCAGCTCACCATACATACTAAATCTCTCTGCCAAACTTTCAGCATTCTTGGAACTTGAAATACATATTACAAATCATCTCCAAATTTAACTAATATACTAATTATTTCTTTATGAGTCATTAATAAAAATGGGAAATAACAAATAACCTAGCATATAATCTCAAGATGCACCACTTGTAACATTACTCCACTGTGATTTTTCCCAATATAAAACAAACACTTTTTTTTATTTGTAGGTATCTTTATAAAAACAATATTATACTAAAAATTAACTATTAAGATATATCAATGTCTTGTTTAAGATACATCAATGTCTTGTTGACTTTTCATTTTGATGTTCCTGTCCTCTTACTTCTTTTCAAACTTTATCACTCCAGGCAGATCTTGGCTATTTGGGCTGATTTCACATTGTTGCTATAGATGATAGATCTTACTTATGACTCACAGGATAAAACAAAATTAATCACTTGTAGCTACTAATATTTTGGTGTCATTAAAGAAGTAGCTCTATTTTAATTGAAAAGAGGAGTGATTTGTATTAGGATATATTATTTTTTGAGACTGTAATCATACCAGTTAACCATAAATAAACTGTATAATGGCATAAGCCACTATGATATCTCAGGCAACACTTTATTTCTTAAGTTGGGGACTAAAAATCTTAAATTTACTTTTGCATACAACCATAATTCATGGAGTTCTACACATGTAATTACCAAGTATTCATACAGAATGGATTCTCATCTATCAGGATATGCCCAGCAAATTCAGTTCTTAGATGTCACTACATCGGTATTTATTATCTTAATAGGCATAAATTACATATATAAATTTATGATATGCTGGCATATCGTACGTTTCCTACATGCTTGTGCTTACATAGAAATTTTTAAATTTTCCATTTTTAATATAACTTCTATGCAGTTTTAGCGTAATCAGATAGTCTAGAAAGTCACTGAGATTGCTTTGTCCTCTACAGTAGATAATGTCTATTCTGCTTGAAAGGACCAGCATCTGTGATATCCTTTGCTGGCCGAATTGCCCATGTCTGTGAACTACAGCAGATTAATGCTCTGAGAGAACATAGGTTACGAGGTGATACTTTTGACAGTATAAATAAACTGAATTTATCCAAAGAATTAAGTGCATTTTCTTAATTTAAGAGTTCTACTTGGAGTTCTTCAAGTATGGGCATACTTTACAATCAGCATGTTTAATTCAACACTACTCTATTCCAAAAGAAAGATAAATGTGGATTTAATCATCATCCAGCAGAAGCAACTGTCGTTTCTATGTCCTGCATTTTCTATTATCTGTTTCACAATAAAGAATATGTTAATTTTGTTAAACTTGTCCAGTCTCATTTTTCATACACACTAAAAAACTCATTCATGTTATCAAATACTCTCTTTATTTCCTGAATTAATCTTCTGTATTTAGCGAGTCTTGATACTTGAAATCATCAATACTTGGTGAAACTCCATTATTACAGAATTCAGGAAAAAACAGATAATTTCATAAATACTTCATTTATTAACCAATGATGCCTTTACTGGCAAAACCGTGGTAATTAATAAATGAAGCATTTGTGAAATGCACAATTGGCTTTGTTTTTTTTCCTCAATTCTAAATAGTTGATACTTGTTGGGAAATCAATTTTCACTTCAAAATACAAGTAGATAGGTAGAAGAAATTTTGGTACAGTGACATTAGGATTTATTTCAGTTTATGTACTGTAATGAATGTACTAGCCCTTGCTTAACTTCTTGCATTTATCGAGTTTAAAGAAACACTTCTTACAATTTGAAAGGCACTTTCTGGATGTAAAAGCACTCACGATCAAGAGGAAGTTTAGTAGAAATGATTGTAAAGGATTCAGGTCTAGGAGAAGTTCTCTCTTTGACATAGAGCTTTCACTCATAAGTCTGTCTGCAACCTTCAACTCAGGGAGATTTGCTCATGATGGAGTACCAAGACTACTAGAGCAGACAGTATTCCTGAAGATCTATCTCAGCAGAAGGGAAATATGGATGACTGAGGGTTGTTGAAGTGGAGTGGCACATGGTAAATGTGAAATCATATAGAGAGGTTTCTATCAAAGTCCTAGGATGTTGTCAGTCAGAGCAGAGCAACCCCAGCTCTGGTCCAGACCATTGATGACCAGAGGAGAGAGGCTGGATGTACTACTAGAAAGTGATCTTTGCCAATCAGATTTGCTTCCCTGGCAGAGGAGATAACATGCACCTACAGGCAAAGATTGTGACCCATGCAGTGAGGTATCTTTCAGGACTGAAAGGTTCCTTGCAACCTCAGCAACAGCTTGTGATACTTGGGATCATGAAGGGTTGTATGACAAGCTACCCAATTTAGCACAGTGCTCTCTAATCCTGAAACAGAGACCAACAGCCCAATGCGATGGTGGAGTCCCAGTCAGCAACTTTCACCCAGAACTGTGGAGCCTTCTAATTAATTCAGACAGTAACCAAAGCAAGTGGTAATGCTAGTGATGCATCTTCCCTATTGCAGCCAAAAACAAACACATGGCTACTGACATTGGTTCAACACCCTGGATCTGGCATCTGGATACAGGCGAGTTGAGCTGAATGACAAAAGGAGGGCTAATAATGACTTTAGCACAAGATAGTCTATATAAATCCCACATCACGCCAATTCATCTGTGTAATGCACCAGCTACTTTCAAGTGGCTGATGGAGCTTACACTCAAGGGTCTGCAATGGGAGAGATGCTTGGCAACACTTAAAATCAATTCTGAGAACCTGAAAATAATATTTCAGCACATAAAATGGCAGGCTTGAAACATCAGTGGTTCTCGTGAAAGTGTACTTAGATGGAGTGAGAAATGCGATCAAGCATTCCAATCTCTAAATTTTGCTTTGGTAGATGCCCCAATGCTGTGCTATCCACATCATATCTGTAAATTTCTGTTGTACACCAATGCTAGCAACAATGGGGTTGAATGAGTTATCAGTTGTAGGACCAAGAGGAAAGTATAATCACATATGCTAGTGATATGCTTATGGTACAAAGTTCACTATATGAAATGATCAGTAAAGTTTAAAATCCAGAGGGAATGACAACACATTGGATAAAGATGTTCCAATCGACTTTGTCAGTTCAACACTCAGACTTGAAATACACAAATGTGGATGACTATCTCACTGCACAGTGAGACTTTATCTGTTATTTGAATGTCCTGAACCTGGACACCATGAAATAGAAGACAACACTGGTGGATGGATGCTAATTTAATGCTTCAGGAACTCCAGGATAAGCAACTGAAGAACCCTGACCTAGCATGCATGCTCCTTGCTGTTCAGCACAAGTAGAGAAGGACAGCTTGAACACATGTAACCTATGACACTTGTACAAGGAGATATATATATGCAAAAAAGGTGGGCTGTGCCATTGCCATCAAGCCATGAAGAATGATGTTCCAATAGTGATGCAGATAGAAGTCCCCAAAGCTCACTGGTATGAAATACTCGGAACTTTGACAACATAAAGACCAGAAAGTACCAAGGTGTAACCTGCACTTGTGCTAACAATTGACAACTTCTAGCTATGAGTGGGTCAAAAGGTGAAGCATTAGTGTCAGTGCTTTATGGTGTGTGTGTTACCCAGAAAAAAAAATAGACAGGGTAAACTCCAACAGAGAATTATTGGGTCTATTCTGCATAGGAAAGCCTTGGATATTACTGATCCATTTATAGAAACTGTAAGAGGTCATTGATACATACTCATGGCTGTCAACTACACAAAGTGGGCCAAAGCTTATCTAATGGTCGATATGCTAACACTGACTATTGTGGACATATTGGCTGAGAACTGGATAGCATGATTCAGAGCACAGAAATACATATGGATCAGTGAGATAGTGTTAGACATGGTGAATACTTGTACTTCATCTCATCAACCCCCAGTCTTATGATTTGCTACAACAGGTAATACTGACTACCAAGCAGATGCTTGCAAAATTTGTTAATCTAGACAGAACAGACTGGGACAAACACTTGCTGTATGCAATGATGGTATATGACAAGTATAATTATTTACTATAATGCTTCATCGACATGAAAAGGATGTTCACACCTTAACAATCATTGTTGTAACAAATGGCTTATATAACTGGTGTTTTGACCACTACTGTGTTTGTTGTGCACCATCTAGCCTATGAACTCTGTGTTGAGTCAAACATGTTGTAGGTAATGGATATGACAAACTTGGAATAGTTAATATACTACTATTAAACACTCCTCTAATTCTTGAAAATCCTTAAGGGACTAAATAAAGAATGTAGTGTTAAAAAATATAATGGGCACAATACTAATGCCTTATGACAAGTATAATTAATTATAATCCTGTTTCACCTGATTGGAAAAAGATATTCTCACCATAATAATTGTGATATCTTTTGCTGGTTGAATTAACAATGTCTATGTATCACAACAGACCAATGATACATGAGAACAAAGATTATGAGGTGATTCTGTTAAATGCATAATTTTAAGGTTTTACTTAAATGAACATTTAAAATTAGTCCAAATGTATACCAATTTTTGTCTAAATCCATTCAGCCATTTTCAAGAAACCTTGCTGACAAACACACACAGGGATGAAAACATAGCCTCCATCCACCTTCAGTGGCAGATGTAACAATTTGTATGAACTATTAAATTATTTTAAAGTTAAATTTTCTATAAATTTCAATTGCAAGTTAGTAGGCTGTAGTATGTATCTCACAAACTTTATTTTAAGGAAGATTTCTTTTCTTGACAGAATAATAACATACAGCTTACTTTATATAATACTAAGAGAGAGGGTAGCCAAGTATGATATTGCAGTTCAATACATTAAAAAAAAAAAAGTTATATTTTGAAAAACTTTTACAGGCATTAAAATTCCCATTTATAAAATGCACAAGAAAAGTTAATAACTGGTTCAATAATGCTATATGAGACATCCATCATAAGACCATGACAGTATTGTTGTACACATAATGCTGATATTAAATATATGTTAAACATCAAGAACCCAATAAAACCATGGTGTTCCAGTAACAACACATATAAAGCAGGGCTTAAGCATGTGGAGACTCTTTACTTCTTGATGCTTTAAATATTTATCCCCTTAAAATGACAGTAACTAAGTTTCTACACAATGCATGCATACCCTTAAATACCTGCTGTCCCACTTAATTTCGAAAAATTCTTTTAAACCAGATTGGAATGAAGTCTAATAAAGCAATTTACAGGCAATTAATAAGTGAGTGCAACTTGCTTTAATAATTACGAAAACAAAAATCCTCCAGTGTCCTTTTCACAATGCCCATGCAAGTATTTTCATTTCATCTGTGAATGCCAGAGTGCATTTGAAAAAAAAAAGTAACCAATCGTTTGGTTCTTCACAAATCCAGTTGTGTTTTAGGCCCAGCCAATTTTCAATTTCTGTATTCTTCAAACTAAGAACAAAAGTTAATCAATTTTCACAGCTGCATAAATTTTTCTGATGAAGGTGTATGCAGCATAAAAACCAATAGTTCCAGTCAAAATCCAGTATGTAAATACCATGATCAGGGTGTAGCCAAAGTATAGAAGCGTTGGTATGAATTCTGTGATCTCCAACTAAGAGAGAAACATAAATTATCCATTTACTTTATGACCAACATAAATCTAGAAAAACAAACAAACAGGGTTACTTAAGTATTTATTTGTACTCCTAATGAACTAAACACATTCTTATATATTTTTCCTACCAATAAAAATGCTTTATCATACTAAGCACCGACAGAAACTGAAATGAAACTAAATCTTAAACAGTTACTCTATTTTAACCCTTTGGCCCCTAGTGCCATTTTCAAATTCCTTTCTGCATATTGTACTGCGTTATATTCAGAATTTAACCCTTTTGCGACAGACTAGGTATAATATATACGAGTTAAGCATTTATACTATAATAGTATCTTCACACAATTTGATAGACTTTTAGTAAAGATTACATGTCTTTCATAAACAAAAAATCTAATTTTTTAATGAAGTATTTTTATTATAGATTTGTTCATGAAAATATTGAGTCTGTTTTGTTTCCAGTCCAAGTGCAAAGTGATTTCATGTTATAACTAAAAAACTATTCTTCACCCCATAAATCTCAAATATTATTTGTGTAATCTCTAAAACCTACTAAATACATTTCAAACGTTTGTTTTCAATAAAACTGTTATTCTGTTATTTTCTCTACCCTAACTCTATGTTTGTCAATTTGACTGGCCTCATAACCACGATAAAAAAAACAACTCGAAATTACCTTTTTTTTCTTTCTATAATGACTTCAAATTGTAACATGAAACATTCGTTTATCCTTAGTAGCTTTAAACTACTTCGTTCTAGAATGACTACAGATTATCACACGAAAACAAAAACGTTAATCTAAATAGCTTAAATCTCATAATATTATACATTTATATATATCTATAATTTTTATTATACTGACTTTCTAGCCATGCCTGGCTAACAATACAGAAGTTATAATGATGAGGCGCATGTGCACTCATGTTACCGTATCCAATAATACAAAACTGACCTTTAGTCTTTACAAAATTACCTGTCTTGGCTGTGTTTTAGTCGACTAGTATTTTGTAAAATACAGTCACATTTCAATTACTATCCATTATATATGTATACAGATTATTGCTATTTTGAGATAAGTTCTTAAACTTATTTTTCTTAAAACATAGAACAGTAAATAAAGATGTAAAGCAAACAATTATCTCTCCTAGTTACGACCTTTGTACTCAACTGCTGCTTAACGTAGGTTGCGAAGCCTTATGAAATTTCCCATGTGTATACATTTCAAATAACCCCAAAAAATCATAAATTACTACATCAATACCATAGAATTCCACTATAATTTATCAGACGTAGTAACTAAGCTGTATTTGGGTCTAAAAAAATATAAAATTTCGAGCAGACTAAAGACACAACCTACCTCATTGAAATCTTGGTTTAAAAGAAAGAAATGGCGCTAGGTTTTCTTTATGTTATACCGATTAGTATAGCATAAAATTGTAGCTAATAATCCATATTTTAATAGTATATAAGTTTTAAGTTCTTAATTTTATAAGGTAATATTTTAAAAATCCTGCATTTCCCTTAATGTGAGAAATGTGACATATTTTCTGTAGGCCTCCTCTCATCTTTATTTTATTCACCACTCCTCCAATAAGTATGAAATTTCATGTAAATTACTCACTATAAAATCATCATTGCTCAGACAAACCATAGTTTTTACAGCCTTCAATCTTGTTTGGTTACAGAACCATCAAAAAAAAAAAAGAACCCCCTTGCCACACCCACCTGTCACATCGTCCTTTTTTGAATTTTTAATAGTTCTCTCTTACCTTTAAATCTGTATTATCTATAACCAATAGAAAGCCAAGGTTTTCATCCATCAAATAACATATTATATTACGTTGTTTTCTGTCATTTTCTCTGTTAGTACAAACTTTGTTCCCATGGGAAAGATAATGACTAGCTTGGATGAATTTGTAATGGCTCTTGTTGCATAGTTAGAAAGCCAGAAAAATTTTGATAGTTAGGGGAAATTGTCTCCTTTTTGCATGTTATTATTCTATGTTCTTTGGTGCATTATTTAATTAAATAAAAATTATCTTGTGTGTTACTACCATTAGTATAAAGTAGGGTGAAGTGTCATCGACAGTCGATAGCAAAAAAAAAGAGAAGACCTGGGTAACTTTATTTCTTGTTTTTCACGTGCATTTTATATTTATTATTATGAAAGTAACTAAAATGTAAAAATAGGAAACTTTTTAAGTTAGTTATGGTTATATTAGGTAAAATAAGTAATAATATAATAAAAATGCTTCACGAGGCACGAATGCAAGTAGCTCGGAGTAGTTTGTGGGTAATGTAATTCAATAGATTAATGTGAGCTCCACATTCCCCAAATGAATTACAACTTATAATGGCATGATTAGTAGTAGTTAGACATGGTTAAAAGGGCAGTAAAACAAAATTTAACTATAAATAGATGTATACTGTTACTAGTTTAAAGCTACTTAGGATAAACAAATGTAGTTTCATGTTACAATTTGAAGTCATTATAGAAAGAAAAAAAGGTAATTTCGAGTTTTTCTTTTTTGGTGGTTATGAAGTCAGTCAAATTGATCAACCATGTGTAGAGTTAGGGTAGAGAAAATCACAGATGAGACATAAAGTTTTACTGAAAAACATTTGAAGTGTATTTAGGAGGTTTTAGAGATTACACAAATGAAATTTGAGATTTTTGAGATGAAGAAAAGTATTTTTAATCTTAACATAAAAATCACTTTGCACGCGGGCAAGTAAAAAAATAACTCGATATATTCACGGACAAATTTGTGTTTGGTTTATTAAAAATATTTCATTAAAAAATGTGATTTTTTTTAACATGAAAGACTTATAATATTTACTGAAAATCTGCCAAATTTTGTGAAGATATACTTACTACATTAAAAGTTAGTAGTATCAAAACAATAAAGACTTTAAACAAGTACAAAGATGTCATGTGGTTGGTCAAATCCACCGAGTTATCTGTTATTTTCAGTAATTAATCTCTGTACGGGTTCAGTAAATTTGACTGATCTCGTAACTAACATGAAGAATTAGGAAATAAACATAATTTATGCCTCTTTCATTCTAGAATG